GTGGAGGAAATTATACCTATCCAAATCTATGCTAGAACAAAGTTTGAAGGCTTCAGAAGGATGGACTTACATTACATGTTAACATGGGCTTGATAAAGCTCTCTCCATGTCGATGGAAGAATAATTCAAGAAATTCCCAAAAGGAACTTGTTCATAAGCGTTGTTTTTATTCTACATTTTGTAAATAGTAAACATAGATCTAATAATATTGGAAGAAATAGATGATAATGAAGCTCAATTGCAGAGTGAAGTTACATAATCAAATATGTATCAATTAAGTACAACGTTACAAGGCAAAAGGTACTCACAAGAGGAATGCAGACCTCAACTTGTGCAGTGGCATTGACTTTATTCAACATTTTGGTAAGAGTATAGATCTGATAATTTGGAGAAAATGAAGGGCAGGGCAGATAAGATGCAGAGTAATGCTAGACAATCAACTATTCTCTCAATGTAAGTACAGTAATACTACCTCCGTCGGAATTACTTATCGCTCAAATGGATGTATCTAACACTATTTTAGTTCTAAATACATTCGGTTGAGCAACAATTAATTCGATATGGAGGGAGTACATCACAACAGGTGCTTACAAGAGCAATCCAGAACTTCATAACCATTGGGTTTATTCTACATTTATGTAAGAGTAAATATAGATCTTATAATTTCGAGCAAACAGTGGATAAGGAAGCGAACATTTACAGTGATGCTACATAATCAAACAGCAATGAGTGTAAGTATGGTGATAAAGGGCAAGAGGTACTGACTAGATTAGTTGGTGGACTGCTAGGATTTCCTAAATTGTGCACTGATGTGTAGACTGATTATTGTGATTTCTATGTGTGCATGCCTAGAATGTGCATGATACGTTCACCGATCAAGGAGTGCATTGATAAAGCAATGCACACTCCTCTGATCATTGCATTGATCAAAGCAATGCTCATTGCTATGATCAATCCATAGGTGTGCGTTGTAATTGTATGATGGCTCCATTTTGCATGTGCTATCATACTCACACGTGTCTTCTTAACTGACCAAGTGATGAAGACCGAGTGAGATGTCGGCGGTGGTGGCGGCCCTACACCGAAAGGTGCAAAAGACTTGATTGCCCAAAACCAGTGAGCACATAAGATCAAAGTGATGGGGAGGAGGGATGCAACGATAATGCCTCTGCCAACACTTGGCCGCATGCTGAGGATTAGGCACAGCCAGTAGAACCGATGCACGTCAGTTCTACATGCATGCAACACCCCAGGTGACATGCTACAGTAAACTCCTGTTAATGGTGTCACGTCATCATAATTAATTTTTGCTAATCATCACTTTGTTCCAAACCGACCTCAAATTCATATTTAAAATACAAGTCAGATTATTATTTCCTCAAACTATAAAACTAAAATATTCGGATTTTAGTATAAATTCCCCTGATCGATTTTCATGTTGGAACCATCAACTTTTTAATTAATCAATTCGGTTAATTAATTAATTATGTTAACCCCCCCCCCCCCAGTTAAACTAAACTTGTTAACTTAACCCTAGTCTATGACATGTGGGACCCGCTGACCCTGTTGACCAGTCAATGTTGATTGGTCAACTACTGACTAGACCCATGGCCCCCACTTGTCATCCACTAGGGCTAGATCCTAGTGGGTACAATAGGTATATTCTATTCAAATACAAATTTATATTAATTTTAGATTATAGATAAAACTTTGAAAAATCATATAGATTAAACCGTAACTCGGATGAAAATACTTTATACATGAAAGTTGCTCGAAAAACATGACGATTCCGAATACACACTTCGTTCGTCTGCCACACGTCCCTAGCATAGTGAACGTGGAACCGTCCCTCTCTGTTTCATCTGTTCGAAAATGTCAAACACCGGGAATACTTTCCCGGTTGTTTTCCCCCTTCGCCAGTATCACCTAGTACTACGTTAGATCACACCTAGCACCGCTATTTGCTTTGTCGTGCTTCATCATGCATCTGTTAGCATTGTATTCATTGTTTCTTCCCCCTCTTCTCTTTGGTAGACTTCGAGACCGACATCGCTGCTCCTGACGTCGACTACACCCCTGATGACCCGTCCTTCCCCGCAGAGCTTCCAGGCAAGCAAACCACCCTTGATCATCCCGACATCGCCTACTCTTTCCCTCTACTGCTTGCATTAGAGTAGTGTTACTGTTTCATCGGTGTGATCCTATACTGTTGCATAGCATGTCCTTGTTTCTACTATTGTTGATATCTTACCTGCTATCCTAAATGCTTAGTATAGGATGCTAGTTTATCATCAGTGGCCCTACATTCTTGTCCATCCGCCATGTTATACTATCGGGCCGTGATTACTCGGGAGGTGATCACGGGTATATACTACATACATATTGTACTTGATACATGTGGTGATTAAAGACAGGTCGGCTCGTAGAGTACCCGCGAGTGATTCATGAAAGTGGGGGCTGAAGGGGCAGGTGGTTCCATCCAGGTTGTGATGGGCCTGGGTTCCCGACGGCTCCCGGGTGATTCTTTGTGGCGGAGCGACAGGGCAGGTTGTGACCGCCCATGAGAGAGGTGGCCCTGGTCCTTGGTCGGTGTCCATGGTTGATTCAAAATAACATGCTTAATGAGATTTGGATATTTGATCTGAGTTGGTATTGACGTATACGCACTAACCTCCACGTGGGACAAGATATGGGCAACCGGCGTAGTAGTATCAGCCAAAGCTCTTCAGACATCAGCGACTGAGTGGCACGCGCCGGTTGGACCGCATCAAGCAACCGCCTTGTAGTGTGGGTTGCCAAGTCTGCTCACCGGCTGCGTTCGCAACGTGCAGGAGTGCAAAGGGCGATGGGCCCAAGACCCCTACGCGGTTAGGATGTAGACGGGCGTGCTGACCTCTGTTGGGCCTAAGTAGGGTTGCGACATGTTGATCTTCCGAGGTCGGACATGACCTAGGAAAGTGTGCCCAGCCAGAGTGATCGAGCGTGTCGGGTAATGTGGTGCACCCATGCAGGGAAGATTTATCTATTCGAATAGTCATGTCCACGGTAACATGACGACTTGGAGTTGTATTCCGACCTCATGACAACTAGAACCATATACTTAATGAAACACACCCAGATAAGTTTCAGAGATAACTTGGTGATCGCTTTCACGCAGGGCGACAAGGGAAGGATAGCCGGGTAGGATTATGTTATACGCTATTACTTGGTGAACTTACCAGCTACTCTCTTCTATATGCTTCAAGACGGAGGCTGATAGAAGCGTAGCCTTCGATAGGACTAGCTATCCCCCTCTTATTCTGGCATTCTGTAGTTTAGTCCACAGATACTACCCATTTCATTAATACCGATGCATATGTAGTATAGATCCTTACTTGCGAGTAAAAAGAAGAAGAAGAAGGAGGAGGAGGAGGAGGGGGAGGAGGAGGAGGAGCAACACCGATAAACTATCCCCTATTTAGCCAATGGCCCTTAATAATTTGTTCTGGCATTTAATAATAGTTAGAATGAACTGTCATTTGTTTAACTAGCTGGCACCACATGTTCAGATTGTGTGTGGTAAGCTCACCAATAGTTAGAAGTGGTGACAACACCTTATGCATGTTGCAACCAGATACCATGTCATATGTGCGCTTAATACAATGCGGGCAACCAAACGCCGGGTCAAAAATGATTGTCTCATACAACTAAGGTACATGCAGGCAACCAAATTATGTGCATCTGAGGTCTTTTTGACTACATCCCTTAAACCGGCTCACTAGAGCCAGGCTCGATTGACAATGTAACCAAACACGCCCTCAAGCAACCATGACTTGGCGGGTGGGCAGCAGCCGATTCAGCAGTGGGACGCGAAGCGGCGACAAGCCGGCAGGACCATACCGACTTGGTGGGCGGGCGCCGGCCATTTGGCAGAGTTGAGAAGAGGAGTAGAGCAGGCCCCGCTGTCTTCGTCTCCAGCTGAATGTAAAATTTCAAAATCCTCTCCAGCACAATGTAAAAATTCAAAAGGACAACGATGATTGAAATGGGTTTTAGCTTGATCTGCAAGTGCCTTTTGCTTGATGCGTGTGCCGGTTGATGATTTGACTGGTATATGTGTATTGTTCACCAGGAAACAATGTGAATTGAGTCATGCATATACACATTTGCACCACCCATATTCTAGGGATGAGGCTGAATCAAATCCATTCCATCTATCTCTCCAACCAAACACAAAAAGGAAACCATTACGTTTCACTCTACTGACTCCAACCACACACATGAATGAATGGAGAATTCCATTACGCTGTAATGAAATCATGGTATTCTATTCTATTGGTTCCTCACCAAATGCACACCCTCCATGATTCAGTAGCTGGGCATTCCTCGCAATCGAAGAACCTTGCGGCCGGTGGGAATGGCTCCACTCTGTTTCTGTACAATTTCTCTAAAAATTCTCACCGTTCGCCAAAGTACGAGTTAGCTGGCAAACATTAGCTGGCAAACCAACCAGCAACCATTATGTATCAGTTAGTACGAGCCTGCAGATTCCTGAATGTGGTCTTGGGAATTTGTGATGCAAATGAAAGCACGGGTGAAAAAACAAGAACAAGACAGGACGGAGAATTCACAGCGGTGAGCGTTGTTCTTCAGCAGTGAACTGAAAAGGGAGCAGCAAAATACCTATACTGATATGGATACAGTTCGACATCTACTGGTATGGATAAGGTTCACTCATCAGCGAAAGCAAATCCATCATGAGCCGTGTAAATTCAAGTACCAATATAGGAATGCACTTCGTCTAAAAGGCCCTGGCATTCAGTAGCAAGTCGGCAGTTGGACAACAGGAACACAAATATAGGCTATGGATCGTTGCTGCCGCGAGGCACCATATCCAAGAACTATGTATGAGTGTCTATTGTAACCTCAGCAAAAATTGGAGTACTTATTAAACCGGCATACTGCCTCACGATTCATCAAACAAGTACAAAATGGTCACCTCCAGATGTTGCCCCGAATGCTCATACCGCCGCCGCCGTCTTCTCTGGCTGCTGCTCGTCCTCCTCCACTTCCTCCTCTTCGTTGCTGGCTCCCGGTGTGAGGCCGGCATCCTTCTCAAGCTCCTTCCATGGACCGTCGAACTGGTCAGGGAACTTCTTGCGTAGCCCGACCACCACCCGCCTCGCCGCCCGACCCTTGCCAGCCTCCTTGAGAGCCACTACCAGCTTACGCACCGTGCCCAGATCTGCCACCTTCTTGCGCTTTACCCCCTCGTAGAACACGTCCTCCGCCTCTGACAACCTCCCCTCGCTGCACAGCGCCCCCACCATGCATGCGTATGTTGCGCACTCCGGTGCCGACTTCGCCTCAGTGTTCCCCTCCACCCCCTTCTCCTGCAAGCTCCTGTATACCTCCAGGGCCTCGTCCACCCTCTTGTGCCGCCCCAGCACCCGGATCAGCCCATTGTAGGAGATGACATCCGGCCGCAACCCCGACTCCTCGCCCATGGCTCGGATAAGCTCCTGCACCTCCTCCACCGTGCCGGTTGACGACTTGTAGGTGATCCTGACATTGTAAGCGGCAGAGTCGGGCGCGATGCCGCGTTCCTCGACCATCTCGCGCCACAGCTCCTCGGCGCGGTGGGGCTTCTTTTGCTTGTAGTAGGAGTCGATGATGGCCGTGTAGAGGTGGAGGGAAGGCGGCTCCTCCCCGTGGAGGAGGTACACCGCGTGGTCGGCGCCTTTGGTGATGCAGAGGGACTTGGCGAGGATGGACCACGTAAAGGCGTCGCGCGGCGCTGAGGGGTGCGCGTCCAGCAGAGCAGGCACGCGCTCGGCGAGGCGGCGGCGGCGGAGGAGCGGGGCCAGGAGGGCGTTGAGATGCTCGGCGGTGGGCGACGGGATGGTGGAGAGGATGGCGGAGGCCCGGTCGGAGAGGCCGACCACGGAGAGGGCGGAGATCACGGCTTTGGGGTTGGTCGGCACGAGCGGCGCGACGGCGGCGTCGATGTCGTCGAGGCGGCCCACGCGGGCGAGGTTGCGGATGCGGGCCATCGGGACGGGGAACTCGGCAGCCGCAGCGGCGGTGGAGAGCAGGCGGCGGCCGGAGGCGGAGAAGATGGCGGCCATTGCTGCGGCGGAGCTGTGTCTGATCGATCCGAGGTTCCGGGGTTAGGGTTTAGGACGAGTGGGGGAAAGTTTCACTCGGCGGATTGTGTCATTTGGGAAATGGATGCAAGTTGGACAATGGAATGCTGAGTGAGTGGCAGGCCCGCGTTGGAATCCCGGGCCAGTCCCCGGCCCAATACTTATCCTTCACCCCGAGTTGGAGCCGTGGAGTTTGTTAGGGCTAAAGTGGGCCATGGCCCCTAGCCAAATTTATTTATTTATATACTCTCTCAGCTAAAAAAAATTAACTACTCGCATTTAAGACTTACTAGCATATACATGAGCGCTTGCGTCTGTACTATGTTAAAAAAAGCAAATATACCTGTGCATTGCAACGGAACAAAATTTCTTCCATGTATCTAGCTTATGGATCCTTGGGTTGCAACATCGTAATAGATAACTTTGTGCATTCTAAAACCAAACCGACAAATTTTACGATTTTTATGGTTTCTGATTTTCGCTATTATGATATGAACTCCCCATACCGTTTTGAATTTCGGTTTTAATGGTATATACCAAAAAATTGAATGGCTAACCGAATAAATTGAAGTAAATATATATTTATATGTCTTGAGTCGAACAACATTCAAGTAGTCATCCCTTCAGAAGTTGATCCCCACTACTAACAATTATTTCAACATGCATATGGTGCCACGTCAGTGTTTAGTTTGTGAGCACCAACCAATCGCTCGAATTCCCCTATGGTGTAACCTTACACCTATGGAGAGCAATGTAATTTTTCTTGTACAAGGAGCCAATTTTTAAAATCACTAGTTAAGGAGTACTCGTCGCGAAGATCATTCCAGTTCCCCAGGTTGCGACAAGTGGCGCGCTGCATGTGCGTCCAGTGAGCCACTTGTCGCAACCTGGGAGTTTTCCCTTTTTTCGTAAATCCGTTTATTCAAAACGTTTTATCTCTTAAACCATGCGTCCAAATCTCGAACCGCTTTTCGCCGTTGGATTCCTCGTGTCGAGATCTTCAAAACTAGATCCCATGTTGATAGGTTTTGACGAACTTTTTTTCACAAAGAAAACCGGACGAAAAAACCAAACCGGGAGCATGGGTTTTTCCCTTTCCGAAAGAGGCATGCCCGTGCCTCTGACGAAAGCACAACTGTGCCTCTCGCGGAAGCAAAACCATACCTCTCACAAAAGAAAAAAAAACATAAAACACGTTTTTTTCCTTTTTCAAGAGGTACGGCCGTGACTCTCGCGAAAGCACAACCGTGCCTCTCGCGAAAGGAAAGAAAAACAGAAAACACGTTTTTTCCGTTTCCAAGAGGCACGGCTGTGCCTCTCGCGAAAGCACAACCGTGTCTCTCACGGAAACAAAACCGTGACTCCCGCGTTTTTTTGCGTAAAAAATTTTTTGGGTCGAAAAGTTAGGGAAGAACGGTGGAAAACCAAAACATCAAAAAAACTGGAAGAAAAACTGTTTAAAAAGCAGAAAACGCATGCGGAAAAATTAAAAAAAGAAATTCGGAGGGAGCACCCAGAGCGCGACACGTGGCGAATCACTGAAAGCGCGCCAAGTGGCGTTGATCGTTGCGAGGCTTCTGAAGAAGCGCTCGTTAATTAGTTGCGCTCGCCAATTTTCCTGCTGAGCACGTCCATTTTTCTTATAATGTATCATTTTTCTCTAAAAAACATGCTAAACTCGTCCATAACCATCAAGGCATGAATCCATGCATGAATATATACTTATATAGTTATTATATCAGTTTCAAATTCGTGTCAACTCTGGTTATTATGGTATATATCAAAATCATACCGAGATAATTTGGTATGTACCAAAACCGTACCTTATCTTAATTTCATGTCGTATTTGTCAAAGTACTAATACCGTGCAAACCAGAAAATCGTATAAACCAAAGAACCATGATTGCACATTTAGTGATAGAAAAGACACTTGATTTAATAGTTCATATATTCTTTGTCTAGTTGAACACAATATGTCATAAGGGATGTTGACAAATAGTGCTACAATAATCAAGCAAGTTTAAGGATGTGGTCTTGCATGAGATTCACTAAATTCGATAATGGAAGTTAGATTGGTACAGAAACATACCACAAATTCTAATATATTCAATTATCACTCTTACCAAAAGTAGTGCGACAAATGAATGAGCATGTACCATATAATTTTTTGCACCATTCTGATCTAGTTTTATCCAAAATTCACATTGCCATATTATTCATACTTCTTTTGCCGGCCTATAATCTTAACGACATGATTCTTCAAAATTGGGCACCGCAATATCAATAGTAAAATGTTCATAATCTGATTAGAAGACATAGACATAGCATAATTGCTTTCATTACACATTACATCGAACATATGGTGAACAGTTCATTGAGGTAATGGAACACATCATATCATATATGCCTAGTGAGTGATTCTCAATAACTTATTTATCTCAACATGCAAGCATGCCACATCACTATACACTTGTGGATGAGATAAGGCCCACCTCAACATGCAGCCATGCATAGGAAAAGATCCACCATCACATGCAACCATACATGGGAAAACATTTTTCTTTCTATTATTCTACTTATATTCAATAAATATTTTACAACTATACATAATCAAATATAACAAGTCTTGTGTATTTTTAATTTTGGTTCACATGATATTAATCTAAATATTTATATTCCGTAGAATCAAAACTCATTGAAATGTATTGCAACTGGTTCCCGCAGCAACTTCTGAGGTATCATCTAGTATGTTAGATTATCGACCCCTTCGTGTCTGATCATCAATGGTCTGAGAAGTTGTCGTGGCAGCGATTGCTGAACTTTATGAATGGGAACTTAAGGTCTATGAGATTCGTTGAGCCCATCACCGAGCACATGGGCACGATAGCAAGCGACTATTGTTGGTACCATAGACTAGGCATGCATTCCACGAAGCTAGTGCAGGGATAGTGATGACGACGATGTCTGCTCAAAGTCGTACAGAGGGGAAAGCCTCATGGCCTCTGTCCTGGTCAACGCCTTGAGGAGAGATGGAGAAAGCACTCTGATAGAGGAAAAGGTGTCCCGTCTTTCGATGAGATGGTGACTATCGTTTTGGAGGAGTAGACTTTGACGATCCGACTACGTACGTGCGAGGACGTCGCGCCTTAGCAATCGCTAAACCAACTCCGAGAGGTTATTGACAACGCCGGAACACGATCAACCTGACCACGAGGGTCTATTTCCCGCGAGCAAACGAAGAACAAGCAAGAAACTGAGATTGCAATCTGGATATTGCGAATATAAAATGAAAACTTTATTGATCAATATGGGGATCTGTGACGTCTTGGTCTGGTCGTTGAACACAAACAAAGTACGCGAAGTTGCAGCTATACCAAACTTTTAATCTAAACAAAACCCAAAGTCTAAACGGTGCCCTAAGGGTTGTATATATGGAGGAAGAGGGGGGGGGGATTTTGTGGCCCTTGGTGGAGGGGTCCGAAACCAACCCTATCTCTTGTTTCCCCACACATACGGACTCTAAAAATAGCCTATACTTATGTATTTCGAAATTACATGGGCCTGGCCCAATAATAAGGTGACGCAACACCTAGAATAGCCTCTGGACGAAAGTTATGAAGTAGCATCTTGTATATTTCGTCCAAGGCTTCATGCACTCACTATGGTGGCTTCAACGTCCTGAAATCATCACTTGTAACTCCGTTCTTGTTCCTCTTGCACATTCCATCATCTCCATGCTTGTTCTTGCTCCAATGTCCATCCTTCTCCCAGCTAGGCCCTTCATTTGTAAGCAAAACAAATGTATCCAATATAGGCAACATCATATTCTGATGAACATTAGAATCATTACCAAGAAACGAAAGTACCTAGTAATTTAATTGGCGTGTGCAAGCTCTAGTAATTGGTCAAGTATGTATAGCAGCAGGGGCTGTGGGTGTAACAATGGTATTGATGTCCTCATCATCCTCCCTTTCTTGAAATGAAGTCGTCCTCAACGGAAGCTCATCTTCCTCACCCAAATAAGGCTTCAAATCTGCAATGTTAAAAGTGGTACTAACCCCAAAATCTGCAGGCAGCTCAAGTTTATATGCATTATCATTTATTTCCTCTCACACCTTAAAAGGACCATCAGCATGTGGCATTAGCTTTGATTTGTGCAAATCAGGAAATCTATCCTTACACAAATGTAACCAAACAAGATCTCCAGGTGCAAACACAACATGTTTTCTACCCTTATCTCCAGCAAGTTTATATTTAGCACATACGCTCAATGTTTTCCTTAGTTAACTCATGCATTTTTGAAATCAATTCAGCACGTTGTTTAGCATCAAAATTAACCTTCTCCGAAGATGGAAGAGGCAACAAATCAATAGGTGCACGAGGTAGGAAACCATACACAATTTCAAAAGGGCACATCTTAGTAGTACAATGTAATGAATTATTATAAGCAAATTCAATATGAGGCAAACATTCCTCCCACATTTTCTTATTATTCTTCAAAACAGCCCTATGCATAGCAGACAATGTTCTATTGACTACTTCAGTTTGTCCATTAGTTTGGGGGTGAAAAGTAGTACTCCCTCTGTTCGGAAATACTTGTCATCGAAAAGAATAAAAGGTGATGTATCTAGATGTATTTTAGTTCTAGATACATCCCTTTTTGTCCATTTTGATGAAAAGTATTTTCGGACTGAGGGAGTACTAAAAAGCAGCTTAGTCCTCAACTTAGCCCATAAACATCTCCAAAAGTGGCTAAGAAATTTAGTATCACGATCTGAAACAATAGTATTTGGCACACCATGCAAGCGAATAATTTCATTAAAGAACAAATTAGCAACATTAACAGCATCATCGCTTTTATGACATGGTATAAAGTGTGCCATTTTTGAGAATCTATCCACGACAACAAATATGCTATCCCTCCCCTTATTTTTTCAAGGTAAACCTAAAACAAAGTCCATAGATATATCCTGCCAAGGAAC